TTAGTGGGCACCCTTACCCAGGGAGACGGAAATCCGTGAGTTAGGGGGAGTGTGACATTTTTAGGGCCGACCTTTTCTAACCCTTCCTTCCTTGTGAGAAGGCAGCATCGCTGCAGATGCTGGTTGTCCGAGGGAAACACCTTACTGCTGTCACACCCCTCTGCAGTCAGCAGTACGACTTCGCCCTCAGACCTTGGGTAGCTGCTTTTAGTCTCATCGTTCTCCAATCGACCTGCCTGGCATGGTAGGACCTGCAGGAACATATGTTCCAGCCAGTATAGCTCGGTTGGGTCATCACGATAGGCAAGCCCGACCACCACGTCAAGGTAGCAGCTTCGGTGTACTGATGTACTTACGTACGAAGTTCTGCGTTGTATCTGCATCCGGGTACCAAACCTCCATGTGCAATTTCCAATGCGTTTAACTAAGTTATGTACAAATAAATTTTATGGAAGTCTTTTCTTGAACAAGCAAATAGCCATTACTACGTAATTCGTGAGATATAATCGCAATATTTAGTTTGGGAAAAAAATAAAAGCAATCTCAAGTCTAATGATCGCGAACAAGAAATACATTATTGCACGCAAATTATTATTTAGGTAGCTATCTACTCATCGATTTCAAACATTAGCATCAGACCTTGAATTTGAGTAAATTTCAACATGCCTTTATATCATCATCATCCACTAAAAGTACGTGACGTAACTGCAACAAAACACCTGATCCGCATATACATAATTAGGAGGAAGTGTATGTTCGTGCTGTCAATGTAGTATACAGAGAAAGAATTTATACCAATTAACGATCTACTTGTGACTGTAGTACGTATACGACCATTTCAAAGACGAGTTGAAGTGTGTATCCCCTGTCACTTTCAGATATTAATATGTAGTGAAGATATATTAAACAAAACCAACCGAAAGTAAACGTCCAACGTGTAGACCGTTGCTACAACTGACACTATCGTTGAGTTAAAACCGGTCATGGTACGGTATATTTGTAATTTTAAATACCATCCTAGTATTATTTTGTATGGCGAGTTACCAAATGGATTCTAAGACACCCAAAACTGAAAATTCGAAGGATCGACCGTATGTTACTGAAAATCGGACTAAAAATAGTCAATGGACCAATCAAATTAGTTCACTTAAGAATACGATTGATCCTAATCAAGTGAAATAACATTTCGAGGGGATGGAAAAAGTATATGCCCAAGTCATGGATAAAGAGATGCTTAAAATACAAGAGCTCACTGCTAAATAATTTGACACCGTGCAAACTTTCACAATCTAGTCTTAAATGTGTGTGGACAGACAACTTTTAGTCCCGAAACGTGAAGGACAATAATGAAACATATTTGATATTTAAAGAGTGTATTTGTAAATACAAAGCTACTATGGTAACTAATTTCTTTTTCGACGTCCTTTTTTGTGCCTTAAGCGCTTCAGTTGTTTTTTCTTTTTCTAAATTTAAGTCAATGAGTATAACAGTACCTTACCTTTGTCGGGGGCGGTTTATATTCCAACTCTTCATCTGACTGCAATTTAAGGATGTGTATACAAGATTAGAAAAAATACACTGTTATTTGCTACAAATCAAAAACGTCTAAATACTTTACCTGCATGTTAGTTAGCTCATTCAGGAAACTATCATAATTTAAAGCAGTCCACTGCAAATATGTAGCTGCAACACTAGTCGCCGAAAACATCACTGATAAAGTATTAACTAGTAGGTAAGCTAGATGATAAGTTATTTGGTGAATGAGACTCAAAATTAGTCCACACAGACCGTTTTTAGATTGTTGATAATGCTTTCACATTTAAAAGATATTGGTAAATATGAAAATGAGATTATCAAGAGGTAGACAAGTTTACCTACGCCCGTTACCCTGAATGGAGCATAGGGCGCTGATCCGTATTCTCCAACTTACTCTATACCAGGACTTTCCTTTTCAGTTCTGCCCAATTTTTGTTAATTCCTCTCATGCCTGTCTCCATTTCTCGGGGTAATGTGTTCCTTAGACTTCCTCTTTTCCTCTGAGCTTGAGGGTTCCAAGTGAGGGTTTGTCTTGTGGCGCAGTCGGGTTTTTTCCGCAATGTTTATCCTATACACTTTCAGCGCTTCTTCCTGATTTACTCCGCTGCAATGTGGTCTGTTCTTTCCCACAGTAGGTTGTTGCTGATGGTGTCTGGCCGCCAACGGGCCAGAAGTATTTTGTGTAGACAACTGTTGATAAGTACTTTCATCTTCTGGATGACGGCTTTGGTAGTTCTCCAAGTTCCCGCCCTATACAGTAGAACTGTCTTGATATTTGTATTAAAAATCCTGACTTTGGGGTTAGTTGATAGTTGTTTTGAGTTCCAGATGTTGTTCAATTGTAAAAATGCAGCCCTTGCTTTGCCGACCCGCGCATACACATCTGCATCGGATCCACCTTGGTTGTCGATGGTTCTGCCCAGAAATGTGAAGGTGTTAACGTCCTCCAAGGCATCTCCATCAAGAGTGATTTGTTTTGAGCGTGTTGTGTTGTATCAGAGAATCTTGCATTTGCCTTTATGTGTGTCAGGACCTGCTGCTGAAACACTGGTTGGCAGAGGGAGATTAGAGTGATTGCTCCAAACTTTGTTGTTGCTTATGTACCTACCATCTGTTGACCACTACAATTTCAATCACAGTCTGATAACATGCATTTGAATGTACATAAACCAGGAAGATCTGCACATTTAAGCATTTATCTAGCCTTATGTAATATATTATCTAACCAAGTACTGGACATTTTGATGACAAATTTTTAAAGGCGAACAGGCGGGATAGCGAATAACAAGTAGCTGCCTTTCGTTATACACATTTCGAATTTCTTTTAGCTTTAGTAAAACTAAAACTTTCAAGAAAAACTGGGCAGTTAATTAAGATTATATGATCAGATCTCGTAAAAAAGCTCAAAGCTCACTTATCTAGGATAAGTACCAAGAAACAAAAACAAATCTAACTAATAGCCTTTAAGAAAAACCGTTTTAAACTTGAAATATTGAGTACGGTCTTATTTCTGAGCTTAGGTGTTGCTGATCATTGCTTGTTTGGTATGGTATAATGTAGAATAGATCAGAAAAGGGTACTATTAAGTCGAAATGTTTGACGTCTTTTTTGTGAATTGAAGGTTAACTGAGTACTTTATACAGGGAAAATTACAACTACTTTAATTGTTAAGTGTGAAAATCTTAGATGGATTTCCATAAGTTACACGCAAAACTTACACTTTGGAAAAGTATTTGCATTTGTCTTAGTCTTGAGGAAGTATCGGATAAACCACCTGGGAGTAAAGAGCGTTGAAGTCGCTTTTCTTGTTTCGTTATTTTTAAACGGGTGAAGTTTTCCTCTTCATAACTAGAAGATAGTAGTTAGTAATATTAAGTACTTCTGTTTTTCCTTCATTTTTTTTCGTGCAAAGCTTTCTTCGGAACCACATCCAAACTTAACAGGTGAAAATATGTTACTAAATAAACATACATAAACTTCCTTAGGCAAATCTTCGGATTCATTGAAATCAGCATCTTCCAAAATAAACCGAGCTGCTCTTAGCTTGGCACGCTCTACTGACAATTTCTTCTTGCTTTCCTCTGATAGAATAAGATAAATAATTTAAGCACCCACCAAAAAAGACTGGAGCCAAGTGTGGTGGTTGATAAATACCCTTAGAATTTAAATTTCTTTCAACCGTTACAGTTTCAGACACTGGTCTATTGACTATGTCCTTATTCATCAATAAAGAAGACAGATGAGAAGACATACCACAAATCTGCCAAGGTTAGGCTTTAACTCTGTTTCACTCATAAGTAAAAATAATCGTTGTAATTGTCACTATAGAAGTGCTTCCTGTTTAGTGGAGCGATCAAGCATTACGATATAAACTGTGAAATTAAAAATTCTGACAGTAAATTACAGTTACAAACTAGTAATAAATTTTGTTAAAATTCCAACTGGCACCTCTGTAATCATGAATTTCGATCTTGGAAATCAACCTATTAACCAATTACTGCGGTAATACACGTCACACTCTGATGCCCAGTGAATGTTACATAATGTCAAAGAAAACAGAACTGCCGCTGATTTCACAACTTGCATCGGTGGAAATGCTTATAGTTCACTAAGGAATCGTGTATACCATAGAGAATCAATTCTACTTACGTTAAACAAGCTGAGATTGCTAACAGCTTATTTTGATGTCGTCATTCTAAAAGCGTGAAAGAACACGATATGATAGGTTATTTTGCGCTCCGAATAAGGCATTACAGGATTGTATTCTGCAACATCCGACACGGGGTTCTACATGCCATTTAGAGAACGACTGCATATCGAACTCTCCAGCAGCCCAATCAGTGGTATAAATTATTTTGGACTCGAAAAGAAACTTTTGAGGATTCCATTATGTTCTTCCAAATTGCTCAAGATTCTTGCTTTACTTGTGAGGAAGTTAATATTGGTCATACGATGATGGTATCGTCCAATGAAGGTAGCTCAGGGACTTATTGCAATGACCACAGAAAACATTAGCTATCTCGAAGTCACCAGGTTTCGAGCATAAACTAATACGTTTTATAAAAGCCATTTAGACTGTGAGAACCTGAAACTAGCAAGCAACAGAGCTTTGCTATAATATGGAGGACCTTAGAACGACCAAGGTAAGTTAATACAGTTATTGATTAACTAGGAGGATAAATAAACAAAATACGATAAGTTGTATAAGATGAGGCATTATATCAGAGTTACTAACGACAGTAATGACTTATCACAGACAATACCAAAGCCACCATTTATTCTGTAGTAACTGGGTGAGTCTAAATCCAAAGTAAAACCGGTCAACATGGTTTTCTCCCAATCTTATGATACTCTGGCATGCACCTTCGTACTTGCGTTGAGACGTATACCAATATTTACAAAATATTGTGCGACAATACTGTAAGTTCCGATATGTGAGCAGATGTAAATTTTGATTAGTACCAAGTGTCAAAAGCACTCTTGTGGTAAGTCCCTTAATCAAGAAATACTCTAGCAGACCGAAACTGAATATCACTCATACGATTTAAATTTTAGGCCACAGGATCTCTCACTAGTAATTCAAAAAGTTGGGAATCAGATTTGGTACGTAAACACGTTTATCTAACCGCGGTTAGTAATTAGGATCAAAAATTACTTGTTGTGAATTATACGGACTTATTGTGTGTTACTAACTACACTTATATATAATTGCTAAATGTAGGAGTTAAAAGCAAACATGATTAAGCTGGGAAAGAATATGTAACAATAATTACGGACGACCTACAAGAGATGAATTTCCCACTTCCAATATCCAATATCTATACACGAGCTAGAATAAACTGCTTCTTTGCGCAATATTTTTGTTCTTGCTACTGTTCTCAGTATTGATAAGTGTCCAATGGATGGGGATCCAGCTACTTGACCGCTCGAAACTTTGTCTCTTGGCAGTTATTTATCAATCTGTATGTCCCGTGATTATAATGAGTACGTTTGCTTCAGAAAAGTAGAATTTCCGGATACCGGCAGCTGTCACGCTACCAGGCCATAGATCAGTTACTTTAAATATGGAGAAGGGTAAGGAGAAAATTCCAATGCGAATAAAATTTTAGGTATGAGAAATATTGTGAAAGGTGACTGAAGTGGGAGCGAGATAAGTTAGGTAACGGCAATAATAACAATAAGCAGGTCTCAAGACAAGGCACACCTTGTCGACGACAGAGATGATGATCACTGCAATTGTACATATTTATCAAGTCTGTCGTTAAGCAGTCCACTGAAATGGCTATGGTAACCCCAACTGGGAGAGCATAGCAAGTTGCAACAACTCCTAGTGAGATCAAATGTGCACGAGCCTGAGTATTCGCTCGTTGATGTGCAATTTTTTGAGGATTGCCTCGATGGGCATGGTTTTGATGCTTCGGTAACATTCTCACGTTGGGATGATTCAGTGTGCTTAATTTGTTGTACGCCATTATTAGATAACCTCTGATTCTACTTTAACTCAAAGAGAATACTCCTAATTGTTCTAGTCCGTCTTCGTAAGGCTTGTTCTTCAAAAATATTACCCACTTGGTTGCTCGTCTCTGCATTCAATCTAGGAGATTTATATCTCTTTTAAGGAAAGAGGGTGCGACAAAATTGTGAACTTCAAGGTGTGGCCGTTCGTGCGTTTGAAAGAGATTTAAAACCGATAGTTGGGTGACTGCACCAAGTTGTCTTCAGATAAAGTGAATAGTTGCATTTTCTCTGTCTATATACCCTTTGCAGTTTGAACTGGTATCTAGGCTTTCCATGATTAGTAAGCCGAGATCGCGCTCTGAGAAGACATTATGGAGAGGATTTTCATTGATAGTGTAAGTCATTTATGTCACGTAGGACAGAATTGTCATAACATGACACTTCGACTGGTTTTTTTTTGTCTTTTTTACACTACCCATCCTTCAACAGACATAATGTTCAACTGAAGATCAGTCAAATCTTCTCCATTTTTTATGGGCTTCCAGATCTTTGCATCATTTGAGTAACTTAAGATTGGATGCACGTGACCCACCTTCCCTAATCCGTGTTTACATTTATTCATGGAGGATGTTGTTCTTATTCATGTACTCCCTTATTTTCGCATTCACTAGTCCTATCATATCCTTCCACAATACTGGTAGTATTGAATCTCTCTGTAACTAACTAGATCATTCTGGTCTCCTCTACTATTGATCGGATAGAATGAATGGCTTTTTCGAGCCAGATAGAAGTTGGTGTGACTCCAGTGAATGCCTAAAAATTTCATATACCAGGGAACTGAGGGCTTCTGTACACTGTTTCAAGTCTATAGGAAGAATTTGGTCACATCCCAGCAAAATTCTTGGAAGCAGGGATTTTAGTTTCCTTAGTACAAAGTCAGGAATAAGTTGGATATTTTTTAAGCCATCAACTAGCACTATATTTGAGTAGTGATCTGGATATAAAGGTTCCTGAGTTAACTGTCGGTGAAGTCGGTGTTTGAGACCTCTCTAGATTGATTAGATCTTGGTTATTTGGACGTTTGCGAGCACAGTTAACTTGGTTTGTAAATTCTATTTTATTCATCAACCTAAACAAATCCTTTGAGAATAAATTATTATTATTATTATTATCTGCCTGTATTTTGAAAGCTGTCTTCCTCCTAAAGTATCTGCTATCTCTTCGAACCCTGGCACTGCATTTGTTTCTCAATTTCAATTAAGAACTACTGAAATCCTTCAGAATGACTTTTCACATGTGCTAGGCTCTCGTTATCGCCTGCAGCAAGCATTCAGTGAGTCGCTTAATCCAAGTTCTTCCCTTTCCCAGTATGTGATATGCCTGCGGTGTATTGTTTAGAACAGCATTCTGGATGATGTCTCTTGCTATTTGCCAGTGATCACCTATTGTCAGCCTGTACCATTCCCGTTGCCATGGGGCCGGGGAGCTCGCGTAATTTTCCCTAGGGTAAAAAAGGAAGGACTCATTTTTCCCTTCCTGAGTATTTCGTTAACCACCATTTTAAACATGACTGTTCAACGGTCACTACTTCCCATTGGTATTGAAGCAACAGCAGCATGGTTCTGTGATATCGGTTAGTTGGGTGCCGTGTAGTCTTTCGGCTTTGAGACGGTCATCAATATATAAAGCCACTCTTCCTCCCGTCCTGTGTACCCTATAGTACTGAAAGTGTCACTCGTTGCAAGATCACTCCATCGTCTGCAATGTCGGGGGATAGCCACGTTCTAGTTACGATCATGATCTTCAGCTTGATGTGAGATAACGTATTCCTGATCTCGAACAGCCTCCCTCTTAGTGTTAGAGTTTTCGAAGTGGATTCTGGATTCGGAAGAACAGTTCTAGAAGTTTAGATACTCGCCTTTCCCAGTTACTCCAACAAGAGAGCAATTTATCTGGGTCAGAAACAGTCCCGTTATTAATCAGATAGTAGAAATAATTACCTAAAAAATATTACACTCTAACATATTTAACACAATTTCCATTTCTGGAAGAATGCATCCGTATGGGTCCAAAATCGCATCCTTACGGTCCAGATTAAAGTTTCACCGCCCAGGGTGTCAAATCCAATAGACTGGCTCGTAAAGTTGATGCAGGTGATCTCAGACATCTCTTGGTGAATAGAACCTCCTTTATTTTGACGTTCATGGTCACAAAAAACTGGGTTTGCAGGCTTTCTGTTGGTCATGAAATTATAGATATAAATATAGATCTGCCTGTTTTATCGTTAGGGTTTTTTATGATTACACATTACCATACTTCTTCAGTTCCTTCGTCTTTTTCCAGCTTTTTTCTGGAGCTAGTAGTTTTTTACATGTTATGATTAGCCAGAGGGAGGACATATATTTATGAATAATCAGATAGAATGAAATAATATGAGTTCAAAAAGTAAATAGTGTGAAGGTCAAGAATAAGAAGAGTCTTTAGCATGCAATAACAGAGTAAGTTGGATACAATCTTATTCCTAGCTAAAAATTAATGTTCCAGAAAGATGAAAATGGTATCCACTACAATCGACAGACTACAGAGGCTGTAGTTAAGGAAGCGAAAAGAATATTTGAAGGGATTGAGAGGAAACGGGATCTCAGCTTATGTAAAAGCGCTCCTGCATTATAATTAACATATAACTCTAAACAGGCCTAAGGATATGCATGAAATTCAAGACAAATAAATACTGACCAAATTAATACTTCCCTTCAAATGAGACAGCTCAAAGGTGCAACCAACCCGAACTCATTAAAATCTGTATGTAACTTAGTTAGCTAATAAGTCATATAAAATACCTTGTTCAGGACCATAACACCAAATTAACATGATAGAGGAACATCTGCAGTTTGAACCCGAGATTTCCCTCTAAACGTGTACTAAGGGGATTTTCTATGGAGCGACTGATGCTGAAAATTTGTGAAACGATAGATATACTCCGTGAAGTAAAAAGAATAGATTTATAGACAGTTTACTGAGTCAGATTAATTTACTTCCACTTACAATGTGGTAAATGTAATACTTCTGCTATCATGATCTTCCTTGTGTATTAGAAAATTACTGCCTAGCTTTCGTGTCCCATTGCTCCGGATTAATTTTATTTACATCAGTTTACATAAAAAATTACTTGTAATCTTCGTGTTTCTGTACCTATATAATCGTCCATAAACACATTTCTCTCAGTATATTTATTCCTACACATTTACGTAAATAATTAGGAACATAAATTAATACATTTCAGAAGAATTACACTTCAGGTCTAGTGTTACACCACTCACGTAGGGACATTATTTTGAAAATAAATACAAAAGATTAAGCTCGCCGAAGGATGTACATAGAAAGTTTCATGCCGGAAACAAGCACAAGCATCTAGTAGTTCAAGAAACAACAACAAAAGAAAATTATTACTTTACTTTATCAGAATAAAAATCAATCATAATACTGAGGAAGCGAAAATTAGTCATTCAACTGAATAATGAATAGTCGGTTGAGATAAGTATTTTGTGGAGAACATTCAACTTGCATTGAACGACATGAACTAAGTTTATTTAGAAAATCTTTGTAAACTAAGAAACACTGGCAACGCGTTTCTTCCTGCTGAATAGCTCATCATTCCGGATGCACGACCTCGTTAGAGGATAAACCATGAGTCTTCAGTAATGAACAGAACGGCTTGAAATGTTTGAAAACTTGTTATTTAAGATATCACTGAGTTTGACTGTCATGCGTAAAGCTTAGATGTAAAGCGGAATTTTTATTCAGTATGCACGAACTGAAAACCTCACAGATGGTTTGCATGATGCGAATTTCTTTTACATAGCGGTGATTTTTGTCTTTAGTAGTCAAAAACTTGAAAATTTTCACTGACAACACTCTTCTGGATTATATCAAGTAATGAACCTCCCGTAAACTCATAAAAGTCAGATAGTGGATATCTCTCGGATGTCTCTTCTTACAATTAGCACAACAAGCCAATAGATCCTGAAAACAGGATAACTTTTGACATATGCAACATTTTCATGTGCATTTTGTAGTACAGAAAATGAGTTTCACCCTTGTAAATTCTTCGTCCTTATTACTACCCAGCTCAAATCCATTTCAGTAATAGATACTTTCGATTCACTGAGGTTTTCCAAAAAAGTCTTACTGAAATCTTGGTAATCATCATTTAGACCTAACTATTAGGCTGTGATAAACCGGTAAATGAAGGGTGCACAGCCAAAAGCCTGTCAATGAACACTCAAGAGGCTATCAGTCTGGCTGTTGAAGAAGCGCCTGAGCAGGTAATGTTGGTTGGGATGAAGCCCGCTGACAAGATGTGTGACAGTAGCAAAGGCAGTCATGTTGCAGGGGCTTCCACGCTGCGATGT